CAGTGGGAACAGTCAAATCCGGTGGTGGAACATCGGGAGAGGAAGCCGTAGGTGTGCTGGGAGTAGTAGCATTATGGTGGAAGCGAATAGACAACGTAGAGTGAGGATTGGAGGGAGAGGCTATTGAAGTACGGAAGGGGAAAACAGATTCCACGAACCGTACATGCCGAGATATGTAATTTGGATTTGTGGAGACGTCAAGACACTTAAAGGCAGAACGCATGGTACAATGCCCCATGAAAACACAAGGAGTGGAGCGAGGTTCTAATTTAATGGATCGATAAGGACGCAACAAAGGGTAGCAAAGGCAACCAAAAGGTTTAAGTGTAGAGTAAGAGGGAGAGACATGATAGAGAATTTCATAGGGAGTGCAGTTGGCGAGGATGGGAGTTGGCATGTGATTTATGAGAAAGACAGCCATTTTGAAAGCATGGTGCCAATAGGTGAGAGGGATAGCGGCATAGTGAAGAAGAGCAAGACCGGTTTCAACAATATGACGATGGCGTCGCTCAGCCGTGCCATTTTGTTCAGGTGTATGAGAAGGGGTGGTAAAATGGGAGATACCAGACTCATTTAACAAGGGAATTAATTTCAGGAACTCGCCCCCATTGTCAGAGAAGAGAGACACAATTTTGGTTTGAAAGTAGTTTTCCACAACACGTTTGAAGTGGGGAAATATTAGAAATACATCAAACTTCTTTTTGACAGGATACCACCAAACATACTTGGAAAAGTGATCCACAAATATTACGTAATAACCATGCCCATCTAGAGAACGAGTAGAAGCACTCCATACATCAGCATATAAAAGTTCAAGAGGACGAGTACTAAACAGTGAGTTTGCATGAAACGGAAGTTTATGGCTTTTATTGATAAGACAAGAATTACAAAAGAAATCAGGAGAAATCCTAACAAACTGATGACTTAAACTTGCTAAAGACTTCATAACTGAAGGAGAGGGGTGACCCAGACAGTGATGCCAATCAGCGGAAGAGTAGTGGATGAAAGGATTTGGTGATGGCATGGTCCGATATAGGTGAATAACGTCGTGCCCCCGGAGTAGAATTGTCACCTTGAGTAATCCTTAACAACAAAAAAGGATGGAAAAAATTCCACAGAGACGTTGTTAGTTTGGCATAATTGAGACACGGATATAAGATTACAATTAAGAGATGGAGTGTATAGGACATTGGTGAGTGATAGGGGACGATGGCGGGTGGATAGAATGGTGCTACCGATTTTTGAAATAAGAAGAGTGTTACCATTTCCGAGATGAATTTCATCGGGACCGCCATAGTCAGTGAAGTTCTACGGGGGAGCCGCTGTGTTAGTCACATGGTGACTAGCGTCTGAGTCGAATATCCAAGGCGCTTGAGGAGATACTGCAGCATATGCTGGATTGACCCCAGGAAACTGTGGCGGCGGCGGCTGCACATAGATTTGTTGCTCCCTGAGAAAAGCAGCAAGCTTCCTTATATACCCGCCCTGCCATTCTATACACACATACATGTATTTCTTATATGTATATATACAACAACAATATCCAAATCTTATTTCCAAAATATTTTGGGATCGGCTAACATGAATCGATCCATGATATCAAATCCAAAAGGAGAAGAGAGATAAGAAGAATAAAAAGATAAAGTAAGATAAAATGGATAAGACAAAGATAAATATAAGATAAAAATAACAAAAGAACATATATAGAAAGATAAAGAAATATAATAAAAGATAAACGAAAAAGAAAGTGGAAAGAGTGAAAAAAGATCAATCGTCCATACATTTATATGCGCACTCCACTTTGCTCTCTCCAAAGTCATACTCTCATCCAACCCAGGATTGTATGTATATATACATACCTATACAAGATTTAATGGAGGATGGAGAGATAAAAGAGAGGTGGAGGTCATACTTTAATACACTACTCAACGGGAACAAAGCGCAAGATATTGGTGATTTGACCATACCTGATTGTATGGCAAATCGTGATTTTGTGAGAAGGATCCAAACAACGGAAGTTAAAGAGGCTCTGAGGAAAATGAGGCGGAAGAAAGCAGTGGGTCCAGATGGCATACAGATTGAGGCTTGGAGAAGTTTGGAGGAGAGAGGTGTCGAGTGGTTAACAAGTTTCTTCGACCCGATTTGGAGAAACAACAAGATGCCATTATGGTGATGTACAACAATGTGCCAACTATCGAGGGATTGAGTTTATAAGTCACACCATGAAACTTTGGGAGTGAGTGATTGAGCCAAGACTTCAAAGAACTGTGAAGATTTCAGAGAATCAATTCAGTGTTATGACTAGTTGCTTAACAAATGAGGCCATTCAGCTTCTTCGGCAAGTTATGGAGAAATATAGAGACGCTCACAAGGATCTGCATTTGGTGGTCATTGACTTAAAAAATACATATGATAGGGTACCTCGAGAAGTTCTTTGGTGGGCCCTAAATAAAAAGGCATATCACACAAGTACATCAGCATCATTATGGATATGTATGAGGATTGTACTACAACTGCTCGTACTAGCATAGGGAGGACTGCGAAGTTCCTTATTACTATCAGAGTGCACCAAGGATTGGCTCTGCGCCCTTTCTTGTTTGCCATAGTCATGGATGAAGTTACGAAGTCAATTCAAGACGATATACCGTGGTGCATGATGTTTGCCGACAATATTGTTTTTATTGATGAGACGCAATCAGGTCTCAAAGCAAAGTTGGAAGTATGACGATAAACATTGGAGAACAAGGGTTTTAGACTAAGTCGGACCAAGACAGAGTACATGGAGTGCAAGTTTGGTGGAGGTAGAAGCAATGGTTATAGCGGAATTACTCTAGATGGTAAGGAGATACTGGTCAGCGATATGTTCCGTTACATGGGCCCCATAACTCAGAAGGACGGTGAGTTAGATGGAGATGTATCCCATAAAATCAGAACAAGGTGGATGAAGTGGAAGAGTGCGTCAAGATTTCTATGCGATCGAGGTATGCCGACTAGACTGAAGGGTAAATTTTATAGGACATCAGTTAGGCCTGCCATTATTGTATGACGTAGAGTATTGGGCGATGAAACAATGTCACATTCAAAAGATGAGTGTCATAGAGATGCGCATGCTGCGTTGGATGTGTGGGCATACGAGGAAGGACCGTGTGAGGAATGAGACAATCAGACATAGGGTGGGAATAACACCTATTGAAGACAAGATGCGGGAGTCACGCCTACGATGGTTTGGTCATGTGTGTAGAAGATCGAGTGATGCACCTGTCATACGAGTTGAGATGTGTGCAGAAGAGGCAGGGAAGAGAGGGAGAGGAAGGCCCAAACAGACGTGAGTTAGGGTAGTCTGAAGTAATTACATGTAAGTTACTACGATGTAAACTTTGAACACAATTATAATCACTAATAGTTACTCCCTCCGTCGCAAATTGATGGTCCTATACTTTTTAGGCTCAAATATTAAGAAACGGTGGACCCATATGACCTTACTAAATTGTATTGTTCATTTCTTTACTTTTATTGTTCGTTAAAAAGGAGGGATATAAATGATAATCTACTTTAATTTGTTTACCAAAAAGGGGAACATAACTACCATTTTGGAACATCCCAAATAGGAAATACAAGACCATCATTTTGGGACGGAGGTAGTACTAAGTAATATTTTTGCCCATTACTTTTTTATTAGTAATATTTAAAGAAAACCCCCAATTTAAATTAAAGAGTTATTAATGGTGCTAGTATCAGTTTTTATTGCACACAATATTATTTAGTTTAACTCGTTTGGTAGTAATTAAAATATATGTATGTAGGTGCATAAAGTGGATTGAAAAATATTCAAATAAGATAAATAAAATATATACGGGTACCCACCTGACATTAGGGGTGGGCGCCGGGCGGCGTAAGGAGTAAAGGGGGACACGGGGAGGATGGGGAACTTTGCACTCATGGGATCAAAGAGTGAAAGGTGCTTCTTACTATATACCTAATAATATGTATGTTGGGTGTTGATCTTTTCCGGCTCAGGTCTCCAACCCTTTTGCTATACTCTCACACACCACCCTAGGCTAGACCACAACACAACTCCAAGCTTCTTCTCTACCACTAAGGTATTCTCTCTCACACTCTCACACAAAGGAAATGGAGAAGAAGAAGGGCACTGCTCTCTAGTTTTTCACGCAGGCTGCTCTCTCAAGGAAGAAGAAGAGCTACATAAATAATAGGCTTGCCAACAAGAGGACACTCACGGGTGATGCAAAGACAAGGAAAGACTGCAGCAGACAACTCAAGATGGGGTCACTCCACATAAGGCAATAACCATATTATTGGTTAGGAAAGATTCAAACAAGAGGTGCCAAAGTGGGAATAAACATGGGGTGCAAGTCAATAGGACCAATACCTCCAACATTCTCCACCTTATTGGTCCTAGGTGGTGTAGAGTAGCAATACAAAGTTGTGAGGAGACTCGTCATCGCCGGACCATTACAAGTACATCATTGCGATCATACAAGTAATAGATGAGAACCAAAGTTCCCTTTCGGACCAAGCTTACCATGCAAACCCAATTCACGATGGACTGAACTCTACCAATCGGTCCTCGAGTTCAGAACCAAAACCATCACAAAACTATTAACAAGCACAACACATGTTAATAGACCACGCAAGCAAGCATCCGGGAGAAGTTGGGGATTCCAACTAATCCAACAACCACACAAAGCAAGTATAAAGAAAATAAAAGAAACAATATTATTTCTATAACTAGCATAGGCAGAGCTCACATAATCACTTGGTATCACATTTTCAAAACACAAAGAAAATAGCATACCAAATATCACAAAGATTTTAATTAAAAGAGAATTAAGCACATTTAAAGCAAACTCAGAGGAAATATAGTCAAACACATTGCACATATTATTTCTCACATGCTTCCTAATGTCTATATCTCTAATAACATGGCAATCACGCAACTCAAGCATATTGCACACAACATTCATATCATGCTCCACCTTAATAGAAATATTAAGGAATAACTCTAGTTCTATCTCAGTTTGACTTTTCTTTTCACCTTCAGTTTCCCCTTCAGTTTCCCCCTTGGTTTCACCTTCAGTTTCCCCTTTGGTTTCACCTTCAGTTTTCCCTTTGGTTTCACCTTTGGTTTGACCTTTGGTTTCACCTTTAGTTTCACCTTCAGTTTCCCCTTTGGTTTGACCCTCGGCTTTATCCTTTTTTTTTTACTCTCAGTTTTACCTTTGGTTTCACCCTCAGTTTTCTTTTTAGCCTTTTTATCTTTGTTTTTATTCTTAATTTTACCGATCTTTTGATTCGTGATTTCATCATTGAGATTCAAATTAGAAATAAGTGATTGGCTTGGTATAATCCATGGTTTCATTTTATATATATTAACAAACCACAGAAATTCTGGGAAGACCGAAAGTTCCTCAGCCGTTAATGGACTAAGATGTTGTGGAGCTCTTCTACCCAGCCTCCCCCTTCGGCCTCCAGTTTCTTCTTCAACCCTTCGAGGAGGGTGCGGTTGGCATTCTCTACTTGCCCGTTACCCTGAGGGTAGGCTACGGATGAGAAGGTGTGTTTAATGCCCCATGCCTCGAGGAGGGCACAGAAGGGGGCTGCCTCAAATTGAGTGCCATTGTCGGAGATGATTTGTTGGGGGACGCCAAATCTCGTCAGAATGTTCTTAAGGACAAAATGGCGGCACTTGGCCTCGGTGATGCTTGCGAGGGGTTCGGCCTCCACCCACTTGGTGAAGTAGTCAATGGCAATGATGATGTATCTGTTGTTGGAGGTGCCCCTCGGCAGAGGGCCCACTAAGTCAATCCCCCATCTGGAGAAGGGTATAGCGGTGCTGATGGGGGCGTAGTTGACCGTTGGTCTGCCGGGGGCTTTCTGAAAGTGTTGGCATGCGGTACACCTCCGTGCTAAACCCGCACAATCCCGGGCCATGGTGGGCCAGAAGTAGCCTTGAACTATAAGCCTTCGGGACATGGAGAAGGGCCCCTGGTGAGCCGAGCAAGTGCCACTGTGTACTTCCTCCATTGCGACCTCGGCTTCATCTTGATGAAGGCACCGAAGGAGGGTGCCGTTGTAAGATCTTTTGTAGAGCCTACCACTCTCGAGGGTGTAGCTGGGAGCCCTCAGCTTTGCTAATTTAGCGCGAGCCTCATCCTCTAGCAGTTGCCTAGTAGTGATGAAGTTGATGATGTCGGAGATCCAATCCTTCGGCCTTAGGTGAATATCCATGACGGGGCTCGCATGGATGCTTGAGAGGCTGAGTTCCTCAATCCTTGCAATTTTTGAGAGGTGTTCGGGGGATTCATCCGAGAGCTTGGATAGAATGTCGGCCTCAGAGTTTTGAGCCCTCGGTATTTGGGTGAGAGAAAGATTCAAACAAGAGGTGCCAAAGTGGGAGTAAACATGGGGTGCAAGTCAATAATAAAGTGGAAGGGTGGCCTTGGTAGGACCAATACCTCCAACAATGTACTACATTATTATAAATAGTTAAATACGAGTAGTAAGAGATTATAAAAGACTACACAAAATAATGATAAAGAATGAAAACGTAATTAAACTAAGAGGGTGAAAGAGAGGAAATTCGGAAAAGAAGATATAAAGAAAAAGAAAAAGAGAACAAGACTTTGAAATTTGAATGCTTGACTTTGATTTTATTTTCCTAAGATAGTAAAGTGTTATAGCCTTATAGGTTATGATGAGGGGTGAAGTCGTGAAATTCTATATTTGGGGTAGTAAATTTGGAAATACTTTAATATAGTTTCAACACAACTATTTTGAACACACGCTATATATACACACTCAAACTCTTAAACACTCTGCAACCATTCTCTTGCTTCAATTAATTGCCCAACATTCATTGCTAATTTGCATTTTCATGATGGTGTATTACTATAAGCTTATTGATTTACTGCTTATCTTTTCTGTATTATCAGTCAACATTGCAAACTGCGAGGTATTTTTTTTTTAAATATATTTGGTTAGCAAATTGCTTGTTTTGTTAATAATTTGGGTTTGACTGACGCTTTCGACATTTTTAGGACTGCCCATTATTTGGAGACTGTAAAGAAGGGACTCATTGTTTTTCATGCTTTCGCGGGAATTCATTACGCAAATGTGTTAGATCTGCCGCTACGAATCCGTTCACCCTACTTGTAAGTCAAACTCATTAAATTCCTGATAGGAGTAGTGATATACGAAGTATATGTATTTGCTTACAAAGTTCTTTTTTTTTTTGAAAAGTATTTGCTTACAAAGTTATGTACAAGTAATATATTCATGTTATATCTTACAAGCACTGGGAGTGGACTTCATACAGTTTTTTCTATAAGATTACTTAACTAATATACCGCCAAATTGATCTCTTTATTGAACGCGCGCTTCCACTGCTTCTTGTTAAGACTCGGGGTTCCATCCTAAAAGATCAACCTGATAGGAGGAGTAGTCCAAAGCCTTTAGTGTTTAATAGTTTTATAGCTTTCCGGTGTGGGACAAGTGCTTTAACACGCCCCCTCAGCCCGAACCGGGCTGGACAATATCGGGGTGTATAAACGGGCCAAACAAACCCTTAACAAGCTACCCGTAATCATGGGTGCTACACAAGCTGTCAAACCACAACCGGAATTGGCTCTGATACCAAATTAGAATTGCAAATATATCAACCGTACCTTTCTTCATTAATCATGGACGTATAAATAGATGAATTACAAGGTTGAGGAATTGTGATAAGGATTAACTACGTAGCTTTAGCTAAGCAGTAACCAACCTAATCGGCTAAGATTTACATGGACAACTCATATTTATCTCTAACTAAATACAATAAATAAAGCTAAATAATAATGATACAATATATACAGAATGAGCTGGCCGGTCACGTGTATATGCATGCATGCGTTATTACGCCCTCGCAGTCGAAGCCGGAGGTGCACAAACACTGAAACTGGAGAGAAAATCTTCAAACAAAATACAGGGAAGTCCTTTAGTAAAAGTCAGCGTATTGATGTGGTGAGGGGACGTGAAGAACACGAACGTCGCCTCGAGCCACTTTTTCACGTACAAAGTGTATATCAATTTCGATGTGCTTTGTACGTTGGTGTTGAATAGGATTGCCAGACATGTACAACGTGCTAATGTTATCACAATAAACAATAGAGGCCTTTTGAAGCTCAAGAAGGAGATTACGCAGCCAACATGTTTCCGCAACCACATTAGCCATCCCACGGTACTCAGCTTCGGCACTAGATCGAGAAATAGTGGGTTGGCATTTAGATGACCATGAAAGGAGATTATCACCTGAGAATACGCAATAGCCGGAAGTGGAGCGACGAGTATCGGGACACCCGCCCCAATCGGCGTCAGTATATGCAAGTAGATGTGACAACCGGCTTGGTTTAAGAGTAAGACCAAGTTGTGTAGTGCCACGCAGGTAGCGTAGGATTCGCTTAAGTGCATGGAGGTGGGAGGTCCGGGGATCATGCATGAAAACTGAAAAGACATATTTGTTGTACGGCATAGGAGAGATCGGGCTGAGTGAACGTGAGATATTGAAGTGCTCCGGCAAGGCTTCGATAGAGAGATGGATCATCAACGGAGGGACCAGCCGAGGCACTGAGCTTGGAGGCAGTGTCTACTGGGGTGGCAGCTAGCGGGGTTACAAGAGGTCATACCGGCGCGTTCCAGAATTTCCAAGGCATACTTTTGTTGGGATAAGAACATCTCCCCTGAATGTCGTGTCACCGAGATACCCAAAAAATAGGACAAAGGTCCTAAATCCGTCATAGCAAATTCGGAGTTAAGGCCAGAAATGATGGACTGTCGAAGAGAGTCAGATGAAGCCGCAAGAATAATATCGTCAGCATATAGCAAAATATAAGCAATGGCATCCCCACGGCGAAGGATAAACAGAGAATGGTCGCACTTGCTGTGGTGGAAGCGGAGAGTAGACACATATGTAGCAAAGCGGTGGTACCACGCTCGTGGGGCCTGTTTAAGTCCATATAAGGACTTGAGAAGACGGCAAACATGATGAGTTTTAGAAGCATCACGGAAACCGGGGGGTTGATGCATATATACGGTTTCTTGAAGATGTTCATGTAGGAAGGCATTTTTGATGTCCAATTGATGTAGAGGCCATGAGTGAGTGAGAGCTAAGCTGAGAACGGTGCGGATGGTAGCAGGTTTGACAACCGGGCTGAACGTTTCAGTACAATCAATGCCCACTTGCTGTGAATTTCCAGTGACAACCAACTGGGCTTTATGGCGTTCAAGAGATCCGTCCGACCTGAATTTATGCTTAAAGAGCCACATACAACGAATAATATTAGCATCAGGAGGACGGGGTACCAACTCCCACGTCCCATTTTTAATAAGAGCCTCAAACTCGTCAGTCATGGCGGAGCGCCAACTGGGGTCACGAAGAGCAGCAATAGGTGATTTAGGGAAGGGGGAAGGGGATAAAATAACAGAGAGATTGAGGGGCTGTTTGGGTTTAACGATACCTGCACGTCCTTGCGTGATCATAGGGTGGCGAGAGGGTAACGTAGCAGGAGGTGGTGACGGGTTGATAAGACTAAAAGGTGGACTGGGCGGCTGGGAATGGGATGGAGGAATATGTATGGCCGAACTGGAGGGAGGAGTACGAGGCATGGGTTGTGAGTTACGTTCCCATGCAAAGGCATCTGGGAGTATGGCCGAGAGGTGTGGGGAAGAGTCCGAAAAATGATAGGAAGACTTGGGTGAGTCAGTGGGTTTTTGAAAAGGGAATTTAGACTCCATAAAAGTTACATGACGTGAGATAATTAGTTTGTGAGCATTAATGTCAAAACACATGTAACCTTTATGATTAGCGGGATAACCAAGAAAAACGCATGGAGTTGACCGGGGGTGGAGTTTGTGAATGGTTTGAGACGGAGTATGGGGAAAACAAAGACATCCAAATATACGGAGATGAGTATAAGTTGGACTTTTGTGGTATAGGAGGTGGGTGGGGGAAAGGTAATTTAATGTTTGTGCGGGAAGAATATTGTATAGGTAATTGGCCATTTGGACGGCGAGAGGCCAGAATCGGGGAGGAACAGAAACGTGAATAAGGAGAGTACGTGTCATGTTAATGAGGGTCCGTATAAGACGCTCGGCTTTCCCATTTTGAGCCGAAGTATATGGACAAGAGAAAGGAAAATGCAAACCATGAGACGCACCAAATTGACGAAAGGATGAATTGTCATAGTCTTTGCCATTGTCACATTGTAGAACTTTGATGGTGCGTTCAAATTGGGTTTGTATATATTTGTAAAAATCAACAAATATAGAGTATACTTGAGATTTATTATGAAGTGGATAAACCCATAAGAATTTAGTAAAGTCATCCAAAAATAGAACATAATAACGATGACCTGTGGAACTTAAAACAGGAGAAGTCCATAGATCACTGTGTATTAAATCAAATGGTTGAGAACTAACAGATAAAGAAGAATTAAATGGTAACTTGACATGTTTTCCCAATTGACATGAAGTATAAAGGGAGGATGTCGTTTTATTACATGAGATAGTATTATTTGTTCTAAGATAACTAAAAACTGGGTCCCCAGGATGTCCAAGTCGGTTGTGCCAAATCTCAGCCGGAACTGTGAGGAGAGCAGTAGACGACGCAGACGGGAGCCCTTGGGTAGAAGAAAATGGATAAAGATGACCGGAACTATTACATCTCATAACCTGTGCCCCCGATTGGAGATCCTTCACAGAAAAACCAAACGGGTCAAATTCCACAGACACATTATTATCAGATGTAAATTGACGAACAGATATAAGATTTTTAATTATGTTTGGGGTGTGAAGGACATTAGATAATTGAAGTGGGGAAAGGGGGGGACGGGAGGATGGCATACCCGTGACCCAATATTGGAATGGAATTACCATTTCCAACCAAAACAAGATTGGAGAGCCTCGAATTAAAATATGGCATGAGTGAACCTGAGTTTGACGTCATGTGTGACGTTGCTCCGGTATCCATGTACCAGTTTTCGTCCGGCGGAGAAAGAGACATGGTGTGCATGGCGGCAGTGATGTCAGTCGGCGAATAAATGACGCCGAAAAGATGAGCCTGCTGGGGACGGGGGCCAAGAATGCTGGCAGAAGAACGGGGCTGAAAAATTGGGCTAGACCATGGTGCAGTAGGGTACGGACACGGAGGGATGGCCCAAGGGGGTTGAGGCCAGAATCCCCATGGTGGAAAACACCATTGACTCGGTCGAGGAGGCCCATGAGACGTAGGAGGAGGCCCGTCAGTTCGTTCAGAGGGGCAAGAACGCCCATTGCACGAGGTCCCTTGCCGATTGCGAGAACGGGACGCTCGACCATCACGAGCCAGGGGCACTGGAGGCGCTGGAGGTGCTATTAATGCGGTCTGGCCGGCATGTTGATGCTGACGAGCTTCTTCCAGGAGAAGCATGGAACGTGCTTCATAAAAGGAAGGCAGAGGTTTGTGAGTTCGATGAGAGAAGCGGCAGTACCATAGTGTGCAGGTAAGGCATTGACCAGACGCAAAACAAGGCGGTGCTTGGAGACCTCGGCATCAACATTGGACAACTTGTCAGAGAGTACTTTCAAAGCCTGACAGTATGAAAAAACATTAGAGAACTGTTCCAAACGAGTATTGGAAAACTGGCTTTCCAAGTACACAGCTCTAGAATTTTTGTTATCCAGAAAGATTTTGGATAAGCGTTCCCAAGCCTGAGCCGCGGTGGAGTCCGGCTCGATGATGGTATGCAAGAGATTGTTTGAGATCGTGCCGTAAATCCATTGAAGGACCACAACATCCAGACGATCCCAAAGTGCGGAAGCTTCGGCGGCAGCAGCCGCGGCCTCAATCTATTGCTCCACGGTTAGTGTGGTGGAGGAAGATGGTGGATGCAGTAGGAGGACGAGGGGATAAATGGTCAAAGACATGCTCCAGCGGTGATTTTAAATAATTCCGCCCAGGAGGAGTACTCGACATTCTCAATGTCGAGAGCATGGTTTTAAATTGCGGTTGCGGCTGCGGTAGCGGTTGCGGCTGCGGTAGCGGTTGCGGTAGCGGTTGCGGTCATTGCGGTTGCGGCCATTGCGGCCGCTGTGACGCGTATTGCGGATGCTGCGGTGTGAAATGTTTTCAAATTTGCACAAAACAAGAATAAAATGATTTTTTGCATTCTTTAACAAATCTTCTACACATTAATTATATTTAACATAAATTTGACTATTTAAATTTATGGTTGATAAACATGAGAAGACCTGAAATATGAGTAAAAATATTTTGAAATTAAAAAACATGATTGTCATTCTTTATTCCCTAAACAAAGTAATTATCGTCAACTTTGGAAATTATTATCATATTTAGAGCCTGTTTGGTAACATGAAAATCAGCTGATTCGATTATTCTGCTGAAAGTTATGAAATTCTGGTTGAAGTGGCTGCATTGGCTGATTCTGCTGATTTAAGAAAAAATTACTTTTAAATATATTTTGTTGATAAAATAAAGAAAAAGTTATATGTAAAATAGCTAAAAAGGTCATATACAGTAACAAAAATTGCGTGTTTGATGAAAAAGCTGGTTGATAAAATTAGTAGAACTACAATGAATAATGATGCTAAGTGTTTATATATATTAGACCCACCCTTAAAAACCATAATGTAATGAAAAGCATCTATTAAATTACTATATCGTTTATATCTGTCCTAATATGTATGACATCTATACACTTGCACATTTTAGTTCTTTAGTTCAAGATTGTCACCATTACCTCAATTCAAACCAACATATTTTTTTAATTTGTTACACAAAATTCATAAGTATCTTAAATTCTAGTCTTCCAAGCCCAAAATTAAATGAGTGGCCCAACATCCAAATGCCCTATCAGACACCTACCTATTACGGAGTAAATCTTAAGCAAGGAATACAGAGGGCGGACAGAGGACATGAGGACTTCAGGAGCACTTTCGTTTCCTCTTCGAAGAGTATTTGTTGCTAGCCTACTTGAAGTCGTGAATCCCAGGTGATAAGACGCCATTGATGGGGTGCCAGTCTAGCCGGATGCGGGCAGATGCGGCCGATTGCGGCCCGTTGCGGTGTTGTCGCGGTTTGGTTGCGGGTTTTCTGCGTGATTTGATTTCACACCGCGATATCGGTCTGATGCGGTTGCATCCCCAGCCGTTACCGCAATATTGCGGCCCGCAATTTAAAACGTTGGTCGAGAGTGATAGGAATAAAATTCTTAATATTTGAAACTGCCAGAGCGGGATGAAATTTGGAAGAGGAAGAAGAAGCCATGGCAGAGAAAAGAATAGCTCATATTTATCTCTAACTAAATACAATAAATAAAGCTAAATAATAATGATACAATATACTTTATTCAAAAAAAAAAAAATGATACAATATACTCCCTCCCTATTTAGTTGTTCTTTACCTTATGTTTGGGCACAAAGTTTTAGGATAAAATAGTAGGAGTAATGAATGGTGTAAAAAAAGTAGGAGAGAGTTTGTAAAAGTATAAAAAAGAAGATAAAAAGTGGAAAATGCATATCAATTATAATGAAAAAAATTGGATTAATTAAAAAAATGTTAGACATGTGTTTTGGAAAAGGAAAAACTAATTACTTCTTAACTAAACTAATCATTTTTCTTTTATTAATGTCCATGAATTACACTCAAATACTTGATGTAACTATTTATGAGTGAAGGGGTTACAATTACCTTCTTTTTATATATACTTGCGTGAAAACTTATGAATAACACAATAAGTATAGACAATAAACTAACCCTAACATACATATGGAGGATTGGGTGCACAATATTTTTCACCAAACAAATGGATGATCTTTTACACTCTATGAAGAGGGCATCCATAGCATCACTAAAATATATAAAATGTTGGCTAAAGGGTCAAAAAGACCCTTGAACTAGCTTAAAGTGTTCAATTAGCCCTTATATAGGAGGTTCAGCCCGGTCATCGCCAATTGGGGAGGTCCCCGGTGGAATATTTTGATGAAATGTTTTGAGCATCTTGTTCATTAAGTCTAGTTTACTCATACCAAATTTCAGCTACAAATTCAACCGGGAAGGCAGTCCAATGATTTCTTGAAGATCACTGCGCAGTTAAACAGCGCGGTACATTTCGGAAAATCATTTGATTGCCTTTCCGGTTGAATTTTTAGCTGAAATTTGGTATGGCTAAACTATACTTAATGCAGAAGATGCTCAAAACATTTTATCAAAAAATTCCACCAGGAACCTCCCCAATCGGCGATGGTCGGGCTGAACCTCCTATATAAGGGGCTAATTGAACACTTTAAGTTAGTTCAAGGGCCTATTCGACCCTTTAGCCTAAAATGTTTATATTGTTCGGACGGAGGGAGTACGGTCTATAACTGGGGGGGACAGAACAAAAGAAAGTCAAATAAACCCAGTAAATTAAGAGTATATTTAGTAATACCGAAATTAACTGAATTGACGATAAATATGCCGAATTATGGGAAAATATGTGTATGGTAAAACATGAACTATAGGACTTATAAGTTAAAAATATGACTTCGGGTGACATAAACTACCCCGATATCAGGGGCAGATCCAGGAATTTGGGATACCCTGGACTGAAAAACAATTATACTAGGCTTAAACATTAACGGGGTGGGCTGATAGGCACTAGTTGTTAGTGCCTTAGTGTACATTTTTATTATCGTTTGTAATATTTATTTACTAGTATTATGCAAGTTTGTAGTTTTTAAGTTTGCATTTGATTGTAATCGTATTTTTAGCATTTTATTGTTTGTTGTAAGTTGTAGTTAGTTGAGCTATAAGTTTAGGATAGGTTTGGAAGCAAGAAGGATGGAAAAACCTGAGTTTTGTGCAAAACGCGGTCGGATATGGACTTTACCCGGTCGGGTATGAACTAACAGAGGAAGTTGCTACGAAATTAGCAAATACCTGGTCGGGTATTCCATATACCCGATCGGGTATGAAGTGATTTCGGGCAAACGAAAGTGCAGAAGAACACCAGAACATGGGAAAAAGATTTGATTTGACAAATACCCGGTCGGGTATAGCAAATACCCGGCCGGGTATCCGGCATTAGGTGTTGAAAACACCTATAAATAACCCCATTTTCCTTCACTTTTATTGACTCCTTCCATACTCTTAAGATCAGTTTAGAATAGTATTTCTTTTATATTTTATAGCATGTTTAGTCTCCAAATGAGGAGCTAAACTTCCATTTCTTGGCGTTGCTCTTGAAGCTTGTTGATTATTAAAGTAGTGAGTTATTTTCTTAACTTCTTTCCTTGAATATTAATTCTTCCTTTAAATACTATTTCTATATCAATGTTGGGGAGTGTTACTAAGATGACAATTAGTTAACATCTTGACATTGATCTTAGTAATAGCTATTCCTTCCTCTATGTTAATATTGGGGAGTGTTACTAAGATGACAATTAGTTAACATCTTGATATTAACTATAGTAGGATTCATTTTCTTTAATATTCTTCCTTGAGTATTAATTAATTTCTATTCTTATTTCATATTAATATTTTGAACATTACTTAAAGGATCAACTAGTTTTGTTTCATATATTAATTATTACTAGAAACGATCAACGAACCGATGGTTAATCGTTGATAGTTTCATAAGTAAGTAACTTCGGTTTATTAATGCACGGTCGTGGTTAATAAACTTAAGAGGGATTAATTTTGTTGGTTAAACCGAAACCGTTGTGTTGAGGTTATCAATCTCAATTGATTTCATCAAGGAGTTCAAAGATTAAATGCTACTATCAAGTCGGTATATGGCGTTGTTCTATACTTGACTAATAGTAAGAGTTATTAATGAACGATCGTTGTTAATAACTACCCTCGATGAATTGGATATACTCCTCGATTGAGTATTCGAGAGGAGATAAGTTATAGATATAACAATGATCGACTAAAATATATCAACAAGTGGAAAGTAGCAATGCCAAGTCCCTTTTTATCTTTGAATTAAATCACATATAACTCGTTCATCTTTGTGTTTAAATTTAATTAAATCACTCAATCCCAAAACCCCCATTATTTACTAGTTTCATAAAAAGATAATTATTCATATCCCTGTGGATACGAACTCTACTACGCTATACTACGTATATGTGTTAGTATTGAATTTATTTTGACGCACCGTGACAAAGTACCCGTCATGGGCTAAATATGAAATTTTTAAAAACCTACACTAAAAAAGTTGAATTTTTTTTAAACTACCCTGAGCTTCAGCCTAACATAGCACATACATAGATCCTCCCCTCCCGATATGGGTATGAAGTACTCCGTACATGTTAATTAATTAATTAATTCATATTAAATTCTTTATTTTTATTTGTTTGTTATGGACAGAATAGGTCTCTACCATTCAACAAATATGCGTTCTTGACGACCCATAACTCATTCGCAATTACCGGCTACGTTCATAAGGGTGTTGTTCCCAATATTGCTCCTAGAAATCAAGAAGACAGTGTGACTCAACAGCTCAAAGTATGCTTTTCATTTTCAGTTCACGTTCCACTATTTCCTAATTTTATATGCTTAAATGCTTAATTATTTTATCAAGTTCCCCCTATTTGATTTTGACTACTGGACTGAAAAGTACATACTTCGTATAATGGACATGTGCAATAGTAGAATGAGTTAAATGAAAAAAGAAAAAGAAATAGCTTACCTTAAAAATGAACGTGCCCTAAGCTCCACGCTATCATAGTCATAGTGTAAGTTTTCTCGACAGTAGTTCAACTTTATACTCCGTATTTAGGATGTCTTGAATTAGATTGAGTTTGTCAGTGTAAGTTTTCTCGTCAGTAGTTCAACTTTATATTTAGGATGTCTTGAATTAGAGAGTTTCGTGATTTGATTTGGTATGGTTTGATTTAATATGAACTAATTCGGTGTAGTCTGACAGATGTATGGTTTATGTGTATTTTACAAACAGTCCGTAAAATTATCCTTGATTTCCAGAGGCGTAGCTAGAGGAGGGCCAACCATGGTCCAATCCATGTTTAAAAATGTTTGTATTTTTAGTGTAAAAAGTTCCGTATAATTTTTTTCCAAAAATATTTTTTGTACAGGCTCAGTCCGGCCCAGTGCCTAGGCTCCGCCCTGTTGATTTCTGAAGTGTTGTTGTTTTGTTGTTCCTCTTCATATTTAATGCTATAGGCATTTGCATTTCCCTGGCCTTGCAGATGAAAAGAAGAATGAATTGACTAAATGAGACTAAAAAGTGGCCAAAAAACACAAATAGGACCACATTTTCTAAATTCCCTCAGTAGGATTATTTATGTGTTTCGAAAAATATACCCTTGCAATTTTTGAAATGTTTTAATTCATAATAAAATCGTAAAAACTATAAAAATCGTAAAAAAAATTAATGAAATATTTACAAAACAAAATTTTCAAAAAACAATTTAAATAAATTAAAAATTAAAAAAAACATTAAAAAAACACCGCCGGCTCTGCCACCACCAGCTCTAATCACCGGAGGAAAATGCCAACATTTTTAGTAATGCCATAATAATGGTAGATTCAATGAAAATATTAGCATTATCAAAAGTAATAATGCCATTTTCTTGTCATTTTCAGAAAAATGGCATTTTTTACAAAAAAAAATCATTTTTTCAATGATCAAAGGTGGTGGTGCTGGGAGGCGGTGGGAAAGGTTTCCATTTTTTACTTTTTATGAGTTTTTACTATTTTTATTAATATTTTAAAATAAAATCGGTTTTTTAATTATTTAATAAGTAATTTATCATTATTTTATTTTATTTTTTGAAAACTATTATTTTATTATTTTTTACGATTTTATTATGAATTAAAACATTTCATTATTAATTTATGCCCTTAGGGGTATTTAGGATAGAATGAAAATCAATGCTTAGTTCTACTCGAGAATTTAAAAAATAGTAGTCCTATTTGTGCTTTTTAGAAAAACTTTAGTCCTATTTTTTCTATAAAAAGAAAATTGAAAACATGTAAAAAATCAATGTTCATTATATATTCTTAAAATCCTAAAAAGGTAAAACAATGCTGAAATATTTAGGTGATCGATGCTTACTAACGGAAGAATTTCCTGTTATAAAAAATATTTGGAGAATACATATCAAAAATATTATTGAAATGAAACTTTTTCTTTTTTAAAAAAGAAATCACCAAACTATATGAATGCAAACAATTGTTCACAGTAACAATTAGCCAACAGCTTAAAACTCCATCATGTATCTTCTAAAATACGTACTTCATCTAGACTCACTAAAAGCCCTACATTAGGCTAGGGGTGGGTTCGGTTCTTTCGGTTCGGTTTTGACCTAAAACCAAATACGGAACCAAAGTAAAAGTTCGGTTTGGTTTCGGTTCGGTTTTACACTCCAAAACTTGGAACCACAGTTTGATCGGTTCGGTTTGTTTCGGTTCGGTTTCGGTTTTTTCGGTTTTTTACTAAAAAATGTCATTTGATTTAAAATTGATATAAAAGTTGGATGGATCAAACATATTACATAAAAATGCAAGCATACTTGAACAAATAAAGAAAATAATAATAAACAAATATGTCTTGAATTATATAAGTATGCAGGAGAGATAAAAGTGTATATATATTCTTAATTTACATTATTTGTGACTAGTTTAAAAAAAGTTTATGAATACATACGTCGTATATATGTGATATAGTTGAGATGAATATTTATTTGTTTTATCAATATAAAAAATTTAAGTTACAAAAAAAATTAGGTTACATAAAAATAAAAGTTAATTACTACTAATAACTAGTAAAAACATATAATCATGCAATAAATTGCAACATACACATATAGAAGACATAATTGATCAATATAGCTACATTATTATGGGCAATGAATGTGTAAATGCATTTATAAACTATACTAAACTAAACACAGCATAAACATTATTTCTCTAGCACAAGAAATTCAAAGATTATTGATGATATCAAGATTAATGCTTACATTTAACAAATAAAATTTCATATTTTATTTTAGTTCGGTTTGTTCGGTTCGGTTTTGAAGGGTAAAATTCAAAACTGAACCAAACTACTACGGATCGGTTCGGTTTTTTACATTCGGTTTCGGTTTATTAGCGGTTCGGTTTTATTTGGTCACGGTTCGGTTTAATTTGATTCGGTTTTCGGTTTTTCGGACCCAACCCTACATTAGGCACTTAAACTACTACATTCAAAGGAGCAACATGAATTATTGTTGACCATCAAACGAACAATATATATCAAGTTCATATAGACCCTTAAGATCACAATACTCTTCCCCACTTTACTACACTCATAATAGCAAAAAGTTCCCTTGGCCCCTGATTAAACATAGAAAAATTTATTCAAATCTGAGCGAAACTTTTTTATAAACATACTAGAGCTTCAAAGTAAATAATGGCCTTATACATCCGACAAACCCGAAAAAACCCGATTTTGATTATTTTTTCTAAAACAAAAAAAAAATTAACTTCTAAATCATTTTTTCACCAATAAAATTCCAATTTCAATACCCAAAAAGAAAAACATGCAATACCTTTATATACTACTTATTTGTTTAAGAATAAAAATCTTGTAAAATTTTAAAATAAATGTAAAATAACAATCAAAATGAGTATCATTATATATTTTAATAAGATCAAAATGGTATTTTGGAATTTTATGAAACTGCTTTAAATTAAATTTTAAATGTTTAGTAAGAATTATAATTAGTTTAATATTATGGAATAAATACCTTCTATTTTAATTTTGTATACACCAATTATAATTAAGTTTATTACTCCCTCCATCCCGAACTATAAGGCATTTTACAGTTTACAATGTTTGATCGACGATAAAGCAAATTGATCCCTGTCAACGCTCAAATTAGTTTTAGAAAAGAGATAAGGGTCAGATAGGGTCTCGAACTTGAAAAAAAAATGTCAAATAAGGCCATATTTAGGATGCTCTGTCCGGCCGACGCCATTTGGGGTGGTTCCCGGTAGAATTTTTTGATGAAATTTTTTGAGAATCTTATTCATTAAGTCTAGTTTACTCATATCAAATTTGAACAAAAACTTTAATCGGGAAGACATTCAAATGAATTCTTGAAGATAACTGTACCGTTAAAAGCGCAGTTATCTTCATGAATTCATTTGAATGCCTTCCCAATTGAATTGTTAGTTCAAATTTGATATGAGTAAACTAGACTTAATGAATAAGATTCTCAAAAACATTCATCAAAAAATTCCACCGGGAACCACCCCAAATGACGTCGGCCGGACAGAGCATCCTAAATATGGCCTTATTTGACATTTTTTTCAAGTTCGAGGCCCTATCTGACCCTTATCCCTTTAAAAAATAAAATTTGCATATTCAAAAACTACATGAAAACCGCTACAAAGCCTACAAAAAATAATTCAAATTTCATAAAATTTTGATATATATATATATATATATATATATATGTATGTATGTATGTATATATATATAAAGTAAGAGATTAAGACTTATTTGTGTTGACCAAGTGAATAGGAAATGTATCTTATAAAATGGGAGTGAAGGAGTATTATTATATGGTTGACCGGTTTTATGGCGTTGACTGGGTTGACCCGTGACCCAATCACGCGACCGGGATGCCTCCCTGTCCGGTTTCTTAAACATGGGTTAAATCCTAAAAGGTCAGATATGGGAGCAGACGAATGAGAAGATGTGCCTGGACATTAATGCCCGCGCCACATTCAGTATGTGACGATGTTTGCGTTCCACTCTCCCGTTCTGCTGTGGCGTATAAGCACACGATGTCTAGAATAAAATACCACGAGCATCAAAATGAGGCTTCAACCCTCGAAATTCGGTGCCATTATCAGTTCTTATGGTTTTAACCGTAACCTCATATTGTTTTTCAACCATAGCCAAAAACAATAGGAAGTATTTCTGAACCTCCATTTTATCACGAAGCAGATACACCCAAACAGCACGTGAATAATCATCAACTAAAGTAAGAAAATAAATAGCATCACATGTAGATGGGGTTTGATAAGGTCCCCATAAATCACAATGAATTAATTCAAAAATTCTACCAACTTTATTGTCACTAAGGGGAAAAGAATCCCGAACTTGTTTGGTCTGTGGACACACCTCACAGGCTTTATTTAATTTCTTTGGAGCAGAACTAGAAATAATACTAGGTAATAGTTTGAGAACCCGGTCAGAAGGATGACCCAAACGCCGGTGCCATAATTCAAACTCCGATTTGGATGGCGCTCCGAACAGCATGCACCGCAGGTATTCCTCTGAAATAAAAGAGCCCATCTCGTCTCTCACCGGCTCCAATCAGGCTCCTCGAGTATAGGTCCTGTATAGCACAAAGATCATTAGCAAATGTGACAAGACAAGGTATTTGATCTGTTAATTGCGAAACAGATATGAGGTGACAAGTAAGTCCGGGTACAAAAAGAACCCGATCAAGAATAATATTTTGTGACAAGGGTACACGACCTTGCACCATGGCCGCCACTGTCCGTCCGTCGGGAAGCCCAACCGGACACGCATTAATCCGAGTAGGTGCAATCAAACAAGATAAATTTCCTGTAACATGATGTGAAGCACCGGTATCGATAATCCAATCAAGGCAAACATGCTTACCAGACATGCGGTCACAAGAGCGGGTTTCGGCGTTAATCAAATTTAATAGAGCCTGAACCTGCTCATTACTCAACGAAGCTAACCCGCTTGCAGTACCTCCGTGAGGCCCATTACCCTCACTAGCTACTGCCGGGTTGCTGCTTGAAGTCACATCCAGTGTGCGGACCCCCCCTGCACGTCCACCGGCAGACCCACCTCCTACTCCCTTGGCTTTATGCCGTTCTTCCCACCAATCGGAATAACCATGGAGTTTGAAACATGAACTGATCTCATGCCCTTTCTGTTTACAGTGTGCACATATGGGTCGATCCCGGTCCTGTTTCTCTTGACGTCCTTTAGCCGCACGGTCAACCTGCAGTGCAAATGCTTGGACATCCTCCGCCGCAGCTTTCCCTCGAGATATGGCCCTGGAATTTTCCTCTTGAAGAAACGCGTGATGTGCTCGATCAATGTCCGGTAACGGTGACTGGGAAAGAAGGTTCGACCGAACCAGTCCATATATCTCATCATCAATTCCGATAAGGAATTGATGCAATCGCTCCTCTTCACGGTCGGTCGCAAATTTTTTAACGACGCGCACGTACACCCACCACACGTACACACGTGTAGTGGTTTCAGCCTGTTGAGTTCATCAAAAAGGCTCATGAGTGTTGTGTAATATGCATCCACGCTCATAGCCTTGGACTGTTTGCACGTTGCAATCAAGGTTCGGAGTTGCTGTAACCGAGTCGCAAACCGTTTTTCAAGATAGAGCCATAAGGAACGTGCTTCATCATGGAAGGGAATTGAGCAAGCAATCGACGGTTCCATGCTTCGAAGCAGCCACAAAATTACCATAGAATTGGCAGTTTCCCAGTTGCTTTGTCCCGCTGCATCTGCCGGTTTGGTGAGTGTGTCGTCGATGAAGCAATACTTCCGGCGAGCCTTCAAGGAAAGGGAGAACGAACGAGACCACGTCACGTAGTTATCGCCCTTGAAAATAACATGAGTTATAAGGTTGCCGGGTTGATCACCCGAACTAAGGTAATATGGAGACGTCGGATCCGTCATAGCTGCCGCACGATGCACGCTGGTGCTGTACGGCGGCGTAGAATTTCTGAGCTGCACCTCTGTCCTAGACGGGCTCTGATACCATGTTAACAACGGAAGGAATAAGCCAAAATATGGGATGAAATAATTGGAGTGTTAATCTATTATTTTCAAGTGTGTCAAATTACAAGAGAGATAGCCATATATATACACGTATTAACAAAGCAAAGCAAAGCCCTTAGCCCGCTAACTAACAATCTAATTACAATAAACAAGGCCCATTCGGGCTTAACAAAACCAAACAAGCTCTTTTGGGATGTTACATTGTGACTTTGTTTTCGTATTGATGAATTTAATTTTGACTTTAATTTCAGAATGGAGTTCGCGGATTAATGCTTGACGTGTACGACTTTGAAGGACAAATTTGGTTATGCCATTCAGGGGATGGAAAATGCCATGACTATACTGCTTTTGTATGTCCACTCGATTTCCCTGCCCTGAAATATGAAACTATAATTTAATGACTATTAGTAGCAATGAATTAAGTGTTTAATTACTTACACGTTTGGTGAAAATATATTTCAGAGACCAGCAATAGACACATTGGTGGAAATTGAAGTTTTCTTATCAGCAAATCCTTCAGAAATTGTTACAATAATTTTGGAGGATCACGTTCAAACCCTTGGTGGATTGACAAGTATTTTTACAAAGGCTGGTCTGATGAAATACATGTTTCCAGTTGAAAATATGCCTAAACATGGTGAAGATTGGCCTCGTGTTAGTGATATGATCAAAAACAATCATAGGCTTATCGTCTTCACTTCTATCGAATCCAAGGAACAAACTGAAAAGATTGCATACCAGTGGAAGTACATGGTTGAAAACAAATGTAAGAACATTTAATATTACGGAGTATGAGTTTACCCAGATAATTCTTTGGATTTGGGATATGTTTGGAAGTTTGGGGGAATGAAGATAGAGGATGACTCTGAAAATTAGCAGTAGGAAAGAAAGGGGGAGGGGACAAAATCCTTCTTGTTTGGGACACAAATTTGGAAGGATGACACAACGTATTCAAGTAGTTTGTTTTTTAATATTGCGCTTTAAATGAAAACATCCTTGACTGTGAGTTTTTCGATCCTCTGACATTAAGAGTATCATAGCGATGTCATCGAACTATAATAGTAATGTGTTTGACACGTATTCAAATAGTGGAAATAGTGTTCATTTTTAATTGGAATAAATTTGTCACTTAGTTAGTTATGTTAATCGAATCTGATTACTTAAAATTAATCATTTGAAGTGTTCTACGAGATTACAAGAATACTCCAAAACTATTTCTTCTATATTTATAAATCCCAAACATAGGTTTTGGGTTTTGTCTTAAATAAATATTTGACCAATGATACTTATTTTAAAAAGTGCACAATAAATATAATACACCCTTTAATTAATTAATTCGATTCCTTATTCATTTCTCCATATTTTGCAGATGGAGATGAGGGACTTGAGGGAGAATGCAGGAACCGGGTCAATTCATCGGCTCTAAATGACAAAACTAAAGCACTAGTTTTGGTAAACTACTTTAGGACCAAACAAGATCTCGAATCACATCTGATGAAGGCTTGTGTAGATAACTCAGAGCCGCTACTCACTATGGTTGATGCGTGCTCTCTCGCTGCGGGTCAACGTTATGCTAATTTTTTGGCAGTTGATTTTTACAAGGTCAATTTTTCACATATTTTACCAATTTACAACTCTTATGTAGGATGTTTTCTTTTGGACTGAAATTTGCTGATCTGATCTGGTCTGGTAAACGTCTGGTTTCTGTGTATTTTATAACTACGCAAGTCTGGTTTGATCTGATCTGGTCTGGTCTGGTTTGACACTGAAAACAGTCCAAAAGAAAACATTCGTAGTCTACAAGACTACAACCACCAAATTTACAATTCTTTAATTAAGACTAAAATAAAGAGTGAACAAATAGGACCATCATTATTTTATTTTATTTTATTTCTAACATAGGGCCCATTCACTCCAAATATTTTATTTTATTTCTAACATTTAATAACATCAATTGACCGAGTTCCTATTTTGAGAATATTATAGTGTCAATCCAACTCATGCACTTTATCAATGTTTTAGTTGTATTTGAAATAATTTTTTTACTATAAATAATAAACCACCCTTTTGCATTTTTGTTTTTCGTTGCTCCAATATAGGCTTTTACACTATTCATAAAAGTAAAAGTTACAGAGATATTTGATCAGGCATTGAATATGTAGGTGATTTGGATGGGGGAAAAGGAGAGAATAAGGATCATTATGTAATGATATCAGATCAAATTTTCAAAAAGAGTAGGAAAAGTAATTAAAACTTTCATAAAGTAAAAGGAAAATACATAATAAATGCTGGGAAGAGTATGGTCTAGGTTTCTTTTACAAGTTTTGCTCATTTGCAATATCATTAATATTTTCTCGAAAAATTGACAAGAATAATCTCACTTTTCACTGGTCTTCTCATAATAATCCCATCTTTAAACAATCCCAAAATAATCCAACCTTTGCACCTTATCTTCTTTCATTGGACCCTGACCGAGTTTTCTTACCATTTTTAAAAATCTTATATAAATAATCTCACATTTATAAGGATATAATTAAAAGGTCAAAGGTGAGATTATTTGTATAATTTTCAAAGAAAGAGTAAAAAACATGGTCATGGTCCAATAAAAGAAGATGCGGTGAAAAGGTGGGATTATTTTGGGATTATTGAAAGGTGGGATTATTATGAGAAGACCAGTGAAAGGTGGGATTATTGTTGTCAATTTTTCCTATTTTCTTTTGGAATAAATTGTGTATTTCAGTACATATTACTACTATCTCATAAATAAATCTAAATACACTATATGCATGTGATAGTCCCAATAAGCTTTTGAAGTTAAACAATGAATCTAATTTTGAATGTGTCAATAGATTATTAAGACGCCGTTTGGCAACAATGTTTTTCGCCTTATCAGACTTATCAGCCAACTTTTTCACCAAACACGTAACTTTTGTTTTCGCGCGCAGAATTGTGTTAGAAGCAGAAAAAGTAAGGTTGGAGTTACTTTTGTGGCTGTATTGTCTGAAGTTACCGTAGATGACCATTTTAGCGATTTTTACATATAATTTTTTCTATATTTTATTAATAAAATATATTTTAAAAATAATTTTTTCTTAAATCGGCAGAATCAGCCAATGCAGCCAGAACTTCATCAATTTCAGCAGAATCAGCCAAAACAACCGATTTTCATGCTACCAAACGGGCTCTAAATTAAAGATAGTTTCACTTAAACCAGTTTTAGTTTAAGACACTCCCAAACTTAAAGAAAACATACATTACATACATTTAAACAAATCATAGACTAGCTAGACTTAGAAAATAGTACAACAGAGACAATATCAGATCATTTCAAACTAAACAAGTCTTAAACAGATCGGATCAAATTAGATCGAACCAGAAAAATTCAATACATGAGAAAATATTCCTAGATAGAAAAATTTCAATTTATATAAGATAGTCCCTACGTCCCTTAAAACTTTGTCAACTTTCCTTTTTTGGATGCCCCACTAACTTTGCCACTTTCCCTTTTAAGTAAAGAGTTTGTAGTTCCAATTATTTCTTGAAATAATTACATAATTAAATATGACCAAAATAAAGATGATTTACAAAAATATGATTAGTTACTGGAGTAGTAATGACATCATAGTAATTCATGTTCAAGTTTTGGACTTAAGTTACCACAACACTACGTTGTAGTAAAGAATAATCATATTTATGTAAATAAGTTTTATTTTAGTAATATTCTTGTAAAAAAACCTTAATTCTTTCTCCTCTACACAAACCCCAACCACACAGTTTTAACTTTATTAATTCTCGTGCCGGTCAAACTTGGCAAAGTTTTAATGGACGGAGGTAATATAAGACTATAAGATAAAACTTGCCATAAGATGTCTAAGTCAATTAACACCCAAATTAAATTAATGCAGATGAGTAAAGGATCCGGAGGAGGAGCATTTCGAGCTGTGGATAAGCTCAATGGAGAATTATTATGCGGTAAAGATGATGTGCACTCTTGTAGAGTACACTGAAACATTTCAAGAGTACACTTCAAAATGCCTAAGTGAAGATGTAACAAAGTTTTGATAAGCTAAAGTATGTTTTCAAGTTAATTAAAGTATGTTGTATGACATCTCAAGCGTTTACAGTGATTAATGACACTTCAATATTGATAAATATGTTACTACGATCATTAAGTTATGGAGGTATACATATACGCTGAAATAATTGAAATAATTTCTAATATACTATCCTCCGTCTCTTTTTAATCGCAACATGTTGAATTTTACACTATTCATATGTTCTACTTTGACTACATTTTATATTATTATTTTATGAAAATTATTTTTTTAAAATTATATTGTTCAATTCATCTCATTACAAATTTTCAAAATCTAATTTTTAAATATTTTTTTACTAATAGGGATTAAGATATAATTACGGTCAAAGACAGTGGAGGACCTAGGCCGGGGCCTAGGGGGGCAAGTGCCCCGGCTTCCGACCCCGAAGTTTAGTATTAGTACTTAAAATAAAAATTGTGCCCCTGTTGTCCAGACAAAAAATTAGAGTATTTTTCATAAGTATTACCGAAATATAACTAATGAACATAATTATGGTGACTAAAATTGCTTTGGTAGTACGTAAGTCATATTTTTGTCCACTATCTTTATTTCAATCATATTGTCATTATTTCAAAAAACTATTATATGTATAGGACTTCGTCGAAGACATATAATAATTGTAGTAAGAAATATAAACAACTCTGCAGTTGTGATGGAGCAAATTCTTATAGTTAGATATGTTGTTATATTGTTACTACACTTTAATTGAAAAGTGACATTGATGATTTTTAACTTGGTGTGAATAATGTCGTTCCAAATTTAAAGTTCAAAAATACGACAAGGGTTCTTATTTGCAGGATAAACTTAATAGATTGAAAACTTTAATCTTGAATAAAAGTCGATACATGAAAAAATGTGTTAATTCACGATAAATTAGTTTCAAATTGACATACCCTTTAAATATTTTCTATACTATGATACTCTCATAAAAGGTTAGATATATAGAATCATATTATTAAATAAAGTCGTATTAAATGATGAAATCCTAAACTTGACTTATACTTAATTTAATTTAACACGATAGTATTATATTTTAGACAAGTACCAAGAAATTTTGTGGCACAATGTATAACATCGACATGATCTTAGTTCAAATCTGAAATCTTGATCATTTTATAGTATGAAAAATAGCGAAAATTCTAATGTAAAATCAGAAACGGCGCAAAGATGAGTCATTTCTTATCCGCCAAATTATGTCTTTCTTTCAAAAAGTCAAATATTGTTGTTTAGAATTGTCTTAATGAGTTCACAATTAGACTTGTAATCCATATATGTTCATTGTTTGACGTCGGGATTGAATAATCTATTTCCAGTTAAAAATATTAATTTGAACGCACTTGACAAAAAAGACCAATGATACACCAAATTCGATCCGACCCAACCCATTTTTATCTATGTGGGAGTGCCCCACTTCGGAAAACTTCTGGGTCCGCCACTGGTCAAAGATGTGTGTTGGCAAATGTGAAATATTGACCGTTGCAACTAAAGAAGAACGGAGGAAGTATGACCAAAGTAAGAATAATGGACAAAAATGTAGTTAATTTTTTTTAATGATAATAATAAATGTGTTCAAAGCTTACTTACATCATTGTGACGATAAAATTATATTCATAATAAGTTTAATTAAATTATTCACAAAGTTTGTGTGAATAATATTTTATGAAAAAAACTCTAACAAAAGTATATGTGGCAATTGGTGAGATGAAGAGCCATGATTGTTAAAATTGTGCAGTGACAATCAAGTAATGTGACTACGTTTTGTTTTCAAGTGACTACGTTTACACACGATGAAAAACATGACAAACAAGGTGATAAATTAAGAAATTATTCAAAATAGGAATAAAAATGTTTGTCGTGTTTTTATTTTTTAAATATGAGTAATTACTGACATATTTGGCACTATCGGACTTTAAAATGACAATATTAGTTTTCAAGCATGACAATAATTACTCTTATTTGGAATAGAAACGTGACGATTCTATTTTGAAATTCCAAAACATTTTTACTTGTATTTCAACAACTTTCCCTAATAAATTTAGAAAACATGACGTCACTATCAAATTTTTATGTCACTCTCAGTTTATTAAGTCACTGCTAAATTTTTATGTCACTAATTGACAACCTTTTGACCATGTTAAAGGTTGTGTTTATTCATCAATTGTGTGCTTTAATCACTGCAAAAAAAATAACGCTGTAGTCACGGATTTAGTCACGGACTGCAGTATAAAAAATCCGTGACTAACTCTTTTAGTCACGAATTTTTTCCGTGACTAAATCCGTGACTGTTTGGGCGTGACTAAATTTAGTCACGCCAAATTGACCGTGACTAAATGTAGTCACGGATTAGTCACGGACCGGGTCTGTGACTAAAATGTCACTCGAATAACTCCTCCGGCACTTTAGTCACGGCTGAGATCCGTGATTACTTTTTCTTTTTTAATTTTTTTGTTAGTCACGGACGTGTCCGTGACTAAGTTTTTTTTTTTTTTACAAAATTCGGCGATTTTAGTCACGGGAAGTTCCGTGACTACGTTTTTGAATTTTGAAATTTCAAAAACCCGCGGTTCGAATTTTCAAATTTCATATTAGTCACGGTCATGAATCCGTGACTAACTTTAAAAAAAAAATTAAATTAATAAAAAAGAAATCCGGACTAAAAATTTAGTCACGGCTCAGATCCGTGACTAAATTTTTTGTTTTTTTAAAAAAAAATCCATTTTAAAAAAAATTAAAACTTATTTTAATTTTTCTTAAAATTAAAATTAAAATAAAAAATTTATCAGGAAAAATATTATATTTCAAAAAGTATAGCAATTATACCATTAAATAACAAAAACAAAAATCATACACTCATACACAATAAAAATGCATTGAAAACTGAAATTATAAAAATAATGTTCAATGTTAATGATAAAACTGTACTATTACATGCCCGGCCTTCGGACTCCATTATGAAAAAAATTAGGATTTTCATTATCAAATTCATCATCATTATCATCATCATCATCATCATCAGCTTCGGGCTCCACGGGGTGTTCGGGTCGGGTTCCTCCTCGGCTGCCTCCACGGTTGCCTCCTCGGCTACCTCCTCGGTTCGCTCCACGGCTGGATCCTCCGGATGATTGAAATTGATTCAAGAAACCATGCGACAAAGATCCGAATGTCGGATCCATCATAGGCATGCTACTATATCCGGAGTTAGAATAATAACCCATGTTGCCCATGTGCGGAACCTGATGAGTCTGCTCGGGGTGCAATATGTACGGCCGAGGCTGAGGCTGACATCCGGCGTTTAAGATCCGCTCCATCGCTTCCAGCCGGGCTCTTGTTTCTTCATCCTTCTTCCGTTGCTCCTCTAATGCCCGCTGCTGCACCTCCAATTCTCGCTGCATTTGGGCGATGCGTGGATCCTCTCCCCGCCCTGATCGAGAAGATGAAGCTCCGGTGGGCGATGCGTGGATCCTCTAATAATTAAAGATTTATAATTAATTATTAAACTACGAAAAAATAGAAGTTGAGAACATAACCTTGATGGCAGTGGAAGGTGGCGGACGACGGAGACCGGCGGCGGTTGCTACGTTGACGGCGGCGCTGCTGGCGGAACTGCTACGTCGACGGCGGATGACAGAGGAAGAAGGGAGAAGAGAGAGTAGCGAAGGGAGAAGGGAGAGAAGGGATCGATTTAGGGTTGGGATAAAAAAAATTCGCTAAGTGTTCTTTATATATCACATGGTAGTCACGGAGTTAGTCACGGATAATTCCGTGACTATTCCATCGAAATTGCCGAAGTCAGATAACGGAAGGTGAGGTGTCAGCGGCCGCCATTGACCGGTTTAGTCACGGTCTAATCCGTGACTACAACCGTTACTAAATTCAAATTTTAAATTTAGTCACGGTCGTAGTCACGGACTGGACCGTGACTAAACCGGTCAAGGGCGGCCCTGACACTTCGCCTGCCGCCAGTCTGAAATCGGCATTAACGACGACTTAGTCATGGATGTAGTCGTGACTAAGACCGTGACAACTTAAATTTTTTAGTATAAATTATCCTTCTCCGGCCCAAGAATGAATGGTGTTGAAAAAAGATGGCTAATAGAGATCCAATTGAGTGGGATTCCATGTGTAGAAGTATGTAACGACTTAAGCTAATTACATAGCTTATGGAGCCGAAAACCGTTGAAGCATACGAGAGAATCAAAGAGTTGATGTCTAGACCCCTTGAAAGTTTTGGCGATTATAAAGATGAGGAATCCGACTCATTCGGCAAGTCAAGAGCAAAAAACTTGTGTCGGATGCTTCAACGTGCACAAGAATGTTCGGAGTATATGGACCCGATCAACGAAGAAGCTCGAAGGAAAATTCACGAGTTGTGGGCTAGACCTCTCGAAAGTTTCCGGTTGAGGAATGAATAATGTTACTTAGGTTAATGTGATAAATAAATTGTGTGTTTTGTACTTATCTTTTAAATTTGATAAATAAATCTGTGTTAGTTGTTTATTAATATCTAAATTTATTATAATATTCAGATTAGTAAAAGTAAAATAATTTTTTTTTGAATTTTTCGAATTTTGGATATAATATGGAGTAATTTTAAATTGTGTATTATGGAAATTTTAATTTTCAAACTTAGAATTATTAAAAATTATATTTTGAATTTATAATAGGGATATAAAAAACTTGTTGTTGTTGAATTAATATGGAGTAATTTTTATTTCACAGATAATAATGATAAAGAAAAAAAACAAATATTGTTGCAGTAATATAATGATGAAGAAAAGAGCACAAACTGAATCACTTAACTGAATGTGATGGTTGACCGTCTCAACAATAGGCGGAGGTTGGCAAAATTGTTGCTGAAAAGCATCTAAATCAACGTCCTTGTGTTGAGTTTGTGATACAATTTTGCTCGGACGGACAGTACATGCACACACCCAAGGATTCTTTGTCCGCCTGGTTGAAGGATATTCTGCATAATAAACCTGGGCTGCTTGTTGAGCGAGTATAAAAGGCTCATTTTTCCTGTACACGCGAGAGTGGTTGACGTCAATCA